TTAAGGATCATTAGATGGTCCTGAAAGCATTGCCAGGCAATCTAGTTAGAAGAGACATGACAAGGAAAAAGCCCAAGAAAATTGGAGTTTACCTTGGCTACCAAGATAGGCAGGTGACCTTTTTCAGTGTAACTGACATGTCTGTGTTGTTCACATTTAATGATTGTTCATTCTCAGGAGAGGTTTATCCATTCTTTAAAAATTCCCACAAAGAGACAACAATGAGAATTTCTTCAATTAAAGAAGAGGAATAAATTTAAAATGGCTGTGAGGCTCCATGTTGTTGACTAAACTAAGCTAAAGCCCCTTGATGTGTCATGGCACTGTTGACCCAACTGAACCAAAGCAACAATGCTTTGCAGCCAGAAGAAAGGTGATCTGAAAAACCATTGGCTATGAAATTATAGTTAGGTACATTGCTAATGCTGCAGGGGTGGCTCCCCCTATAAGGAATAGGACTGCACGGGAATCTGTAAAACTGAGCTCTCACAAAACAGAGCTATTAACTAGTTTATCTGGACAAGGTATATTAGCAGCTAAAAGTAAGGAAATAATATCCTATATTATACTAATGAGTCTATGCTAAATTGTATAACGAGTCTTTGAGTCAGGTATAAATACAAATGGGGTAATCACAATCTTGAGAAATATTGACCAGCTGCTCTGCTGTCTTCAGGATTGGTTGGTGGCATATTGACTTTTCCATTCTGTATTATGCTGTGTTAATCTTTGCTTAATATTTTTCATTAATAAAAGTTAATTGAGCCTAGTGATTTGATCTCCTTATTTTAATTTATAACAAACCCACAACACTTTATACTGATGCATCTTTGTGGAACTAAAAAAAAAAAAAAGTTTAACTTTTGTGATGCCATCTTATCTGTGTAATTTCCATAAAATAAGTGTTCAGCCTCTTAACAGTTACTGATATCTGCGTAATCTTTTAAGAACATGAAATTTCTGACACAGAACTGTAAGAATTTTACTGAGGAAAATGTAGCACTGTTTCATAACATTGCTTGGCATTGGCCTTGGCCCTGGAAACAAAATGACATCAATATTATTGCTAATTTAATGTCAGCATATTTCCATACAATATGTAGACCAGATTCATGTCTGACAAATAATTATAATCTGGGTCTATATTCAATTGAATAAGTCTCTCTGCATATGCTCCTCCCCGCCTGCCATCAGAAGTTCAGCTACCATCAGCACCAGTGAGGAGCCTTTAAAAGCAATTTCATCCTTCACAGGTAAATACAGTTTAGAGAAGGTGGGTAGCCATCCTGTTCCCCTTCTGCTACAGAGGATGTTCCTCTTATGGATGCATTTACACTGCACACTTATTTCTACAGCATGTAGTGTACACATATACACATGGTCCCCCTAGGATGGCAATAAATAACATTGATAGTGAAGCATGGCTTAGGTACATGAAGTAAAGACACATCTGAAGGGTGCAGGTATATACCTGAGTACATACCCTGCACAGCTCTGTACAGCAGTGGTATTCAACCAGGGGTCCAGGTTTCAGGGGATCTGCCAAAATAAACTAGCAAGCAGGGACAGCAACATAGGATTTCTGAGTAAGAAGCTTCTGTAAATGAACCACTCTCTAGTAGTATTGTCCCCTGTTCACTATTAGATGTTTGCAGAAAGATTCTTCACCTGTGCTGCTTCTGTCTTTTGGGAGTGAAGGCACATTTAGGCCTGACGGAAGACTGCTATGCATTTTAATTATAATTAATTATTATATATATATATATATATATATACATACACACACACACACACACACACACACACACTTAACAGTATAAGCATAAGCAGAACTGTGTATGAGTAAGAAATTGCAGATCATGTTTGTGAAGAAAAGATAAAATAACTAAAGCTAAAAGACTGGTTTGAACCTATACTGACAGGGAAGGAGAGTTAACATGGAAATGAGAGACTAGTACACATGTATGAGAAAAGAAAGTTACAAGTAATTTTTTGTAACAAAGGGCAGCTGATGCTGTATTGTCCGGTGCTGGGGGCAACTGTGATGCAATCATTATGATGAGCTTCCCACTTGCGAGTAGTTGGTGAGTGTTTTGCCTTAATAAATATGTTACTCATCTGCTAAGTTAGTGAACCTCAGTCCAACACTGTCCATCTGGATTTCTGGGTAATCCACTTCTGAAGCTGCTCTGGACCGCTTCTTCACCTGTTTGCCTGTAAGTCCAGCCTAGTCTAACACTCCCATATACCCTCTACAGCTTACAAAATGAAGGGAAATCCCTCAAAAGACCAAGGAGGGAAAAGGGGAGCCAGCTGAATGAATAAGCATCCTAAAAAAAGCCATAGACTGATTCCGTATATATAAGCGAACTCTGGAGTCCTCTTAAAGAGAGCTAATTTTGATGCAAATTGAGTTAGTTTGGTCTATTGTTCATGTGCACCCAATGCTGCTGCACAATGCTTTGGTAATCCTTCAGCTGCTATCCCACAGCATGTGTGAGCTGGGGGAGTGAGAGAGACCCTGCGCTGCCCCTTTCAGAAAGTGGCACTCAGCAGCCTGAAGGAAAGCTCCTTCAGACACAGCAGCAGCCACCAGCAGCTCTGTCCACCTCTTAGTGAGCCCTGTCCTCACACACCCCACTCTGTGGAGATGGGGTACATGTGCAGGGGGGGGCCAGGGGACAGCCTGACATCCAAGCTGCTCCACCCTCCTTACAGCAGACAGGAAGCTCCCAGGAGCAACTGGCCACGGGTGGCTCCAAACCACGGGGCAGGAGCCACGGGGCTGCTGATGCCAGCAGCAGGAGGAGTACCCCTACTCTGGAGGCACCCCATTTGCCCATGCCTAAGGCCAGCCCTGATTGTAATGGAGGGAGGAGATACCACCCGGAAATACAGGGACTCTTGGGTATGGAGGCAGTGAAGAGAGATCCCCAGGTGGTGGGGGGGATGGACAGGGAAACATACTCCCAGAAGGAAAAAGAACAACTGCTAAGTGCTGCCCAAAGGGAATAGGTGAGAGAGACCATGTGGTGGGAATCAGGAATGGAGAGACCTACTGGGAAGAGGAGTGTAACTATAGGAGAGACCCCCAAGCAGTTGATCAATGATGATAAAGAGAGATATACCCCTGGAGGATGAGAGGGATGGGATCCAATTGGATGAGAGAGGCTTGTGGTGAGACCTTAAAAGAAGAAAGCTCCTGTGGGGATCCACAGCAGAGAAATAGGGTAGAATTAGGACCCCCATGTACACACTCCAGGAGGACAGAAACAGGGGTAGGGAGAGAACAAGGAGCAAAAGTGAAACCTTAAAGAAGCAGAAGGTTCTGAGGGCCAGGTGGGGTGCAAGCTCCTGGGGGAGCCAGCAATGCCCAGCTAGGAAATATCCTGAGCCCCTAACACTGGCAAGCTGGCAGTGTGTCCCTAGTACCCTGATGTTTTACAGGGCAACCATCTCAGCAAAGGAATGATGCTGGGAAACCTGAACAGTGGCAGCCCCATGCTCAGCAAGAGGGAGATGGGGGCACCCAGAGTGATGCTGCAAGTGACAGGGAATTGGATGGAGTAAATGAGGGAAAATAGGGAGTAAAAACTAAGAGACAAAGTGATCAGAGCCTGGTCCAGTGGCTGGGTAAGGGGCAGGATACGAGACAGATGCAGTTGGGGGCTGTAGAGGAGCAAACTCACCCCTGCAGCGCCCCCTGCTGGTCTCTTCTGGGAATTAGTTCACAGCCTTGGAGCACCCTCTGCAGGCTGGTGATCCACCTGTCCTTTGGCCCCCCGTGTTCCTCCCTGCACCCCAGTGCCCTTTTGTCTGGGGTGCTACCCCCTGGCAGTAACCCCACAGTCTTAGGCTCTCCCCTCCCCAGGGAACCCCCACCCACTATCACCACCTCACCTCAGAATAAGGCCACTGCAAGTCACCAACTAGCCCCCGCTCCCTGGGGCAGACTGCAGTATAAGCCACTCATCACAGGCAAGGTTGGGTTTGGACCTGCTGCCTTGGCCAACCCCTGGGCTACCCTCAGTACCTGTGCTAGGCTGCAACCTAGGGCTTTCCAGGCTAGAGCTCCCCAGCTCCTCTGCCTTTCCCTGACCCTTCTCCACTCATGTACCCATTCTCTATCTCCTTGCAGCCAGACCCTTCTCCCTCTAAACACAAAGAGAAACTGTCTACTTGAGTGCCTGGCTCAAGCTTTTATAGGGCCCGCTGGGCCCTGATTGGGGTGTGGCCCCATCTGAGCCTGCTTCCCCAATTAGCCAAGGCTTCTAGAGCTGCAGCCCTCTGCAGGGCTGCTTTTAACCCCTGCTATTTTAGGAGTGGGGTAGCCACTTCCCGGAACCCAGTAAGTACAGGGGCAGTAGGAGGGGCTCAGATTAACTGCTGGAGCCACAAAGAGATGTGAATCCTGAGCTGGGGGAGCCCAGTCTAGAAAGAGGAGACCTGGGGGGAGTCAGCCCTTTTGCTACTGGGAGACTGTAGGGGCATAACCTCCCTATCTGCCTGGCCCTAATCCTAGCAACAAGCAGGGACCCCTCTGAAACCCCAGCTGGAAGAACAGGCTGTG